AGTTGATTATTCAAACCTCCATGTATTTGGAAGTATTGTGTACGTGATGTACAACGCCCAAGAAATTTCAAAGATGGATCCAAAATCCAGGAAATGCAAATTCTTGGGGTATGCTGATGGAGTAAAGGGGTATCGCTTGTGTGATCCCACTGCCCGCAAAGTGATCATTAGCAGGGATGTTATCTTTGTAGAAGATAAGCTACAAAGAAAAGAAGACGATGACAACGCTGAAAAGTCAGAGACTACTCAGATACATGTGGAAAAAGAGTTTGAAGAAGGAGATTTTTCTGAAGCAGAATCAGCACATGATGAACAAGAACCAGAGAGTTCTGAAGCTCCAACAACTCGTCAATCAGATCGTGTGAGAAGACGTCCCAATTGACACTCGGATTATGTTATAGAAGGTAATATTGCATACTGCCTTTTAACAGAGGACGGTGAGCCATCAACATACCAGGAGGCAATAAACAGCTCAGATGCTTCACTGTGGATGATGGCGATGCAAGAAGAAATCGAAGCCCTTCATAAAAATAATACATGGGATCTTGTGCCACTACCACAAGGAAGGAAGCCAATTGGTAACAAATGGGTCTTCAAAATCAAGCGAAATGGTGACGATCAAGTTGAGAGGTATCGTGCAAGACTGGTGGTCAAAGGATATGCTCAAAAGGAAGGTATTGATTTCAATGAAATATTTTCTCCTGTGGTTCGACTAACAACAGTTCGAGTAGTTTTGGCAATGTGTGCTACATTGGACTTACATCTAGAGCAGCTAGATGTTAAAACAATTTTTCTTCATGGAAATTTTGAAGAAGAGATTTATATGCTCCAACCTGAAGGTTTTGAAGAAGACGAAAAGAAGAACTTGGTTTGCAGGTTGAACAAATCTCTGTACGGCCTAAAGCAGGCGCCGAGGTGTTGGTATAAGAGATTTGATTCCTTCATTATGTGCCTTGGATACAACAGACTTAATGCATACCCTTGTGTTTATTTCAAGAGGTCTGGTGATAACGATTTTGTTATATTGATGTTGTATGTAGATAACATGTTGGTTGCAGGACCCAACAAAGATCATATTGAAGAATTGAAGGCACAACTGGCTAGGGAATTTGAAATGAAGGACTTGGGATCAGCAAACAAGATTCTAGGGATGCAAATTCACCGAGACAGAAGTAATAGGAAGATTTGGCTTTCACAAAAGAATTACTTGAAGAAAATCTTGTCACGATTCAACATGCAAGATTGTAAGCCAATTTCTACCCCCTTCCTATTAACTTCTAATTATCCTCCAGTATGAGTCCTAGTAGTGAAGAAGAGAGGATGGAGATGTCTCGAGTACCGTATGCATCAGCAGTGGGAAGTTTAATGTTCGCTATGATATGCACAAGACCAGACATTGCACAAGCAGTGGGAGTGGTTAGTCGGTGCATGGTGAATCCAGGCAAAGAGCATTGGAATACAGTAAAGATGATCCTAAGATACATCAAAGGGACCTCAAATGTTGCATTATGTTACGGAGGATCAAACTTACTAATTAATGGGTATGTAGATTCTGACTATGCAGGGGATTTGGATAAAAGCAAATCTACTACAGGATATGTGTTCAAAGTTGCTGGTGGAGCTGTAAGCTGGGTTTCAAAATTGCAGTCAGTTGTGGCTACGTCCACAACAGAGGCAGAATATGTAGCAGCTACACAAGCCAGTAAAGAAGCAATTTGGTTGAAGATGCTATTGGAGGAGCTTGGGCACAATCAAGAGTATGTCTCTCTGTTTTGTGACAGTCAAAGCGCCTTGCATCTAGCAAGGAATCCAGCATTTCATTCAAGGACTAAGCACATACGAGTTCAGTACCATTTCATTCGTGAAAAGGTGGAAGAATGAACAGTAGATATACAGAAGATCCATACCAAAGACAATATAGCAGATTTCATGACGAAGGCGATCAACGCTGATAAATTTACCTGATGTCGATCCTCTTGTGGCCTGTCAGAGACGTAAGCAACATGATGGTACAAGGTAGAAAGAATGGTGTGAATATATGATTGTTCTAATCAAATCTTCAAGTGAGAGATTGTTGAAATGTCAAAGCTTGGAAAATTGGTTCAAGTTAGGCACCTAATATTGCAATGTCAAAATTAGGTGCAACAATGTCAAAATTAGGTGCAATAATGTTTGAAAATTAAATGGGTAAATTATAAATTTTAGTCACTAAACTTTAGGATATTTATAAGATTAGTCCTTAAGTTTCAACTATAAATACCCTAGCTCATTTAGCTTCAAAACCATCCCAAAGCATTCTAGCTTTCTTCCAATACTAGAGATAATTTAGAGAGTTTCTTGAGAGTTGTTTTCTTCTTTTTATCAAGAGATAATTATCATTGTTTTTTCCTTGGTAGATCGAGAGAGGTTGTAATTCCTATTTTCTCATAGTGAAATTCTTCTACCGTTGTCCGTGGTTTTTACCCTATATTATTTAGGGGTTTTTCACGTAAATTTTGTGTCTCTTTTTATCTTCATTTTTTATTTTCTCAAATTATCAGTTACGATTTTGCTCTATCCGATAGCCGTCTTCCGCAACACATCATTCAAAAAATAATATAAATATAATCTGAAATATTTTATAATTTAAGAATTTTACAAAATAAATATAATGACAAAATTAATTATATTAAAACGTGTTATGTTAATATTAGCGTACACTATGTGATAACAATGAGTTAAACTATTCAATGAGATTAATTTGAAAATATATTATATGCTTTCTCGAAATAATACTTCTCAATTTAACTTCTTTTTTTTTTTAACATTGAGTACATTTGTTATTCGTTTCACAAATGTAGTACTTGGTTTAATAGTCAAGGTGCACCTAACTTCTCTATATGTCCCAAGTTCAATTTCTCCCCATTACATATTTTTGTGCTGTATTTTCTTTAAATTAAATGGTGACAAGAGTCAACATATGATGGAGGACTAATTTGTTAAATTAAACTAAACTAAAGGTTAAATTAAATAAATATATAAGTATCAAAGATTAAATGTGTAATTATATTAATTTTATTAACTGTCACATGATTTATTTTATTAAAATTAAAAATAAACTCCTATAATCATATGGTCGTGGATGTAATTTATCCACTGATGGATGCACTAAACCTTAAGGAAATAAGTGCATCCTTATTATTTAAAAAATTATAAAAATTAATTTAATGGGTTAAACGGGGGAGAAACAATATAAAAATTTACATTTTTGATATTTTTTTTAAAAAAATTATGTATTAAAACTTTGAATCCTACTTTTAAATTTATGAATCTGCCATTAAGTTTAACCTTAAAAAAATCAATAGATCATCATTTTTAAAATAAAAATCTAATTTATCTATAATTATAAATGAAATTGTGCTTACTCTTTTCAATACAATTAATTATGTGAAATGTATATATATATTTTTGAATAATTTGAGATAAGTACATGACAATATTTGCTTAAACTTCTATCTTTTTTTAAAGACAACACTCAATCTTTTGACATTAATCGCTCACACCTCTAGTATTTTTAGTACTCGAACCCGGATCCTTAAAGAATAACAACAATTCTTTTATCATGTAAACCATTTGATTCATGCGTAAAATGTATATTTAAACAAACAAACAAAAAACTATTATTGCAAAATTCAAATTGAGAGTTAATAAGACTTTATCTGAGACAGGAAATCGAACAAAACACAGAACATAACAAACACAAAATATTATTGAACAGTCATTTCTCTTTCACTTCCCCCACCACCCTCCTCAAACTGCCGTTTTCCCCCTTTCCCACACTTGCCAGCTTTCTTTTTCTTTTTCCTGCAATCCAAACAAGAAATCAGTCAAAGAAAAAACTACGAAAAACGAAACCCGGTTTTACTTTTTGTTTATTTTCAAGATAAATTACACATTTAGTACTTAATTACGATTTTTGTTTCGTTTTGATATCTAAACTTTATTTTTTTAACTCATATCTAACGTTTAGTTTAATTTTTATTTTGTTACATTGTCTTTTTACGGCTAAATTACATTATTCATCACTCAACTATCTTATCACTCTTATTTCAGTCACCAAAGTTTAAAAAAAATCAATTTAACTACTCAACTTTCAAGTTGCTATTATTTTAATCTCTAATTTATTTTATTAATAATTTTGACATTATATTTTTTTATTATTTTATTAATATATAAGTAAAATAAAAAATAAATTTGAAATGTAAATAATTAAATTAAAAAATAAACTTCATTAAATAAAATAAGAATAAAAAGATAATTGAGTGATTATTGATGTATTACTCATAAAAAGTGTCAAGTACAACATTGTCACTTAAAATTCTAACGGTGAGGTTCGAAAACAAAAAAAAATAAACGTTAAATATGATTTAAAAAAATAAAATTTAGGTACTAAATTAAGATAAAAATAATAATTTAAATACTAAACGTTTAATTTAACTTTATTTTTGTCACTTAGAAACGTGAGCAGTTTTGGCCGTTTGAAGAGTTTACAAAAAAAAAAAAAAGCAGCAAACAGCTATCGTCCTTTTCTTTTGATTCCCTAAAGTTTTTCACCCCTCGTGTCGTCCAAATGCTGTCTGAAATAAGGCGCACTTTAGTTAAATCTATTGACACGTCAGATTAAAGACGGTATACGTTAGTACACCCGGCGCATTTCTTCCATCAACATTCCATTTTTCTTTTAAAAAAAACCAAAGGAGATTCTCGGAAAGTTTGCCGCGAAAGAGACTTTCCCGTGACTTTGTCGGAAGTGGTTGCCCACAAAACAGCAGTTTTATATTAAATTTTAAAATTTTACTTTAAAAAAAAAGAACAAAGATTAATTAATGAAAGTCCTTTTTTTCTGTTTAAAAAGTAGGATTAAATTCCAATTTAACCGGGTTTTACTTCATATTACTAGCATTACGGTGTCGAGAGCGAATATAGAATTTCTTTTGGGTGTCATTATATAGAAGCAAAAGTGACTACCCCAAGGCCGAAAGCTTGAAAGAATTCTCTTTGGTTCAATATCAAAGTCGGCAATATTTCTTTCGCTCTTAAAGAAGAAAAAAGGATTTTTTTTCCTTTGTTTTTGTTTTGTGGTTTGATCCCTTCTTGTAATTCTTGATGTTCTGGTTTTGATGTCTAAGCCCATAGAGCATGATTACATAGGTTTGTCAGAACAGCCGTTTCCTTCAATGGAGAAAAGCTCTGACGCTAACGATAAAAAGAATGGATTGCGCTTAAAGGATACTGAGCTGAGACTCGGTTTACCCGGGTCCAATTCACCGGAGAGGGAGGTTCATGACCAAAACGTGCTTTCACTGAAGAGTTTTGTGTCTGGAGCAAAAAGGGGGTTTGCCGATGCACTCGACGGTGGCGTGAAATGGGTTTTTTCCCGTGGCAGTGGAGGAGGATCTGAAGGGTTGTTTTCTCCTAGACGTGGCGGTAATAATAATGGAGGAAATGATCTTTCCGGGCCGGATTCGGGTTTGGGTGGTCCGGTTTCGAAGGATGGAGATGCTCAGAATCCCTTGGTGGTTCAGGAGAAGAAGTGCCAGGTAGCTTCCGGCAGTAGTCATGGAAATGGGAATACTTCTGCTACGGCTTCAAAGTAAACTTATATCGCTTCATTTCCTTCGCTTTTTTCTTCTTCTTTAGTTTCGAGATGTGAAAATAATGCTGTTGATAAAAGGTTTATGACCCTTTTTTCTACTTAATTTAATTTATTTCAATAATGATAGCAACATTTAGTAGGTTTATAAGCGGTGGAGTTGGACTTTAAAAAGGTGGTTTTTACCTGCTGCTAGTATTCTTTATGGTGTTGGAAGAACTATATATTTGTTAGTAGCTACCATGTTGTCTTGGTCAAATTGTTTACTTCTTGGCTTTCAATCCGGGAAATTTAGTCCTTTTATCTACCCATTGATGTTTTAGCAGGGCACAGGTAGTTGGATGGCCACCAATCAGGTCTTTCCGGAAGAATACAATGGCTTCTCATCCCACAAAGAACGATGACGATTACAATGCCGAAGCCAAGTTAGGATCAGGATGTCTGTATGTCAAAGTTAGTATGGATGGTGCTCCATACCTTAGGAAAGTTGATCTCAAGATCTATGGCAGCTACAAAGAGCTCTCCACGGCACTCGAAAAGATGTTCAGCTGCTTCACAATCGGTAATTCTCCCTTCAAAATTCTAAACCATTAATCCTATGTTCATGTTTGTGTTTTCCAGTATCTTTCGGTAGTCGATAGTTGTCAACTTTGTTTTTTATTTATTCTAATTTGTGAAAATTGACATACTGACTCAAAAGGATCTTCATGCAATGTAATGATCGATGATTCATTAAACTGAAATGGTATGTGCAAAATTTCCCGATGGAAGGAATTAATTTGTGGTTTGTAATTAACTGGTTCAGGTCAGTGTGGCTCTCATGGCGTTTCTAGCCGGGATGGGTTGAGTGAGAGTCTATTAATCGATCTCCTCCACGGCTCCGAGTATGTACTCACCTATGAAGATAAAGACGGTGACTGGATGCTGGTCGGCGATGTTCCTTGGGTGTAAGTTGTTTTGCAACTCGTGTTAAATACCCTTGATGAAGGAACCTTCATTGGATGATCGAAAATCGATCAAGTTGTTCTTAATCAGAGATTTTCATTGGAATTTATTGATTAAGGATACATCTTTAGTCTTTAGTTGGACTTTATCCAAGCATCAACATTCTAAATGTTTCATGAGAGATGCAAGAATATCCCGCTAATTTAAGTGCCCCATTCCGTTGCAGGATGTTTACCAACTCTTGTAAGAGATTGAGGATCATGAAGAGTACTGAGGCTATCGGCCTAGGTACGCTAAATGGCCATCTTTTCTAAGTTGGTTCATAATATTTAATGATGAGATGGCATGATATATGTAAAATATGATACGTGCCGGTAGTCGAAAAACCTGTTCCTTTGGTTACGCAGCAGGGATTAATTCGAAACAAGCAATCATTTACACTTTTTTTGTGCATTGTGCAGCCCCGAGAGCTATGGAGAAGTGCAAAAACCGTACCTAGACGATTCAATATTGCTGTAACTACTGAAGAAGATGATGGAAGTTTGTTACGATATATGTGGATGTCAAAAGCCTTTGACTGTTAATAAAAACTGGGTCTTCTTTTTACTGCTCAAGTATGGTTCATGTACTGTATAAGGGACTACTAGTGCTAGTAGGCAAGATAAACTATTTTAAGACATAAATTTCCAGGTTCATAGGTCTGTTGTTTTATGTAATGTATTTTGTTGTCTCTGCTTAAAACTGGTTTGTTTCATATGTAAATGGTTTGCTAACTGTTTATAATCTCTCTTTCAAGATAACAAGGAGAGTGGTGCACCAATGATTTTCTGTATAGGAGAACAGAATCAGTTCGTTGCTATTGAACTACCACAATAGTTAAAATAGGATGACAGAGATTGAGATGCGATCGAGTAATTTATATCAGGTATAACCAAGGTTTATTATGAGAACATTCTCATGATACAATTTACTTATATTCATTATAATTTAAATTTATGCCCTTAAGAAATTTAGCGTCTCATCTCCTATATCAACCGATTATTCAAACAATTCAAAAATTAGTAATGTAATTATATATTTTTAAAATCGAATAACTAAAATAGAAACACAGACAACACTGAAAGGCCACAAAATAGCTTCATCTTTAATATTCGTAAGTAAAAATACGGTAATTTTAATTTCTTTTTGAAAAGTAAAGTATAATTTTTAAAATATCAGTAAATAAATACCCGTATTTTACTCTTTCATTCCAATAACAACCATAAAAACTCCATGAATTTGTTCATCAAGCAACAAAAAGGTAAACTAGTTAAATTCTTTCAATATATTGACAAGGATCAACTGAGCCGAAACAATCGATAGACAACAAAAAGGTAAACCAGTTAAATTCTTTCAATCCATGACAGTACACATATATCGCATGTCCGAATCTAAGGCTTAAATTGCTGGCAAATAAAATACAACAAAAAGAAAAATTATTTTCTTGAGGAACTGTTACTACAGAAAAAAAATGCTTAACGTTGCTATTTGACAAGAGAAGGAAACTAGAAATTCATACATACAAATGCAGTAGTCAACTCCAGAGGCTAATACAACAGGAACAGGAACAAAGAACTAAAGTCCTGGAGAAAAGAAAGGCCCCCAGCAGTGTATTGAAGGCCATAACAATGTCGTACTTGACTGGAAGTAAATTTATGTTACGACACTGAAGAAATGTTTTACGCTTCAGCTCTGACTAGAAGTAGCAGGATTGGTACCTGGAATTCGTTAAACCATCCAGCAGTGTATTCAAGGCCATAACAATGTCATACTTGACTGGAAGTAAATTTATGTTACGACACTGAAAAAATGTTTTACGCTTCAACTCTGACTAGAAGCAGCAGGATTGGTACCTGGAAATGTCGTTAAACCATTGTTATTATCTGGATTGGTGCACTCTTCACTAGCATGCCGAACAAACTCCTCGGGGGACATGTGGGTTCCATGGCAAGCACAAACGATCTTTATCAGATTAGCGCTGAATCTGTAAGTAACACCGGAAATAGTTCTGCCGTGTGGACCAGTCCCCGTGGTTGAAACCCATGGTAAATTTGGGTAAGAACCAGATCCACCAAATTTCAGATCTGCAGCAATCCCAGGCTTTATGGCTGAAAAATCAAGAGTTAAGCCTTCAGCTGTTGGACGATCAGATGCAGTATTTGATCGGAGATTCATGCTGCTTCCTTTAACATCGTCCTCTGCGCATGTAGAGAAGCCTTCCTCTGTGCCATGCTGTTTACCTTCACCTTTGACTCGTTCGAATGTCCTACCATCATATTGTGCAGCCTCAGAGGGATTGCGTGCAATTGTAGGCATGGAAGCTACATGCAACAAAGGGAGATTTCATGAACAACTATCACCCAGATGAATAATGTTTGACATTAAAATTTCGTACATACAGAAATTTGATTTGGCAGCACAAATCTAAAAAGATACCAAGACAGACTAACAATAGGACAGTTTGCTTTTGCTTCAAGAATAGTAACAGAGCAAGAAAGCAACAAATCCAATATATATATATATATATATATATATATATCATTCCTTTAATGTAAATCAAGATCAGGATAGCTCAAAGCTCTCCCTGAAGAATAGAACAAAATAATATGCTAAATATACTTACAGATCATACCAACCACTGTACCCATTACCTTGTCCCCCTAACCCATTTTCTTCAAGGAAAGGGATAAAGAGATACCTTGTGATGTTTTCATTCCATCACTATGCTTATCTGCATTAGGTGGACTTCTACCAGCATATGAAGGCGGGAATTGTGGAGGGTGAGATACCATCCCCCAAGGATTATCCTTGTCCAACAGTGGAAGCTGGACAGGTAAGTACCCAAACATAACTGGTAAGTTTCCAGGATTCACAGGCTGGGTGCCAGACTGTTTGCTATTCCCGGTAGGCATCATCTGCATCATGCCGGGTAGTGTATGACCTGATGAACTAGGGATTCCAACAGAGTTAGAATCCTTTGTAGACAATGAGAAAGGTGCATTCATGACATTGACTGGTTGCATCGGGAATGAGTTACCGTAAGTCAAGTTTCCCAGCTTAACTTCCTTGAACACCTCAGGGGAACCACTAACTCCAATAAATCGCTTGGACCCATCATCATGTTGTGAAACTAACCTCGAGGTGGAGCCCTCAACTTCAGACTCCGCAACATCTTCATTCTCAGCAGTGGAGCCATCTTCTGTTATGGAGATATGTGATGGTTTGGGCTTTTCATGCAAATCAGTATGATGAGCTTCTCTTTCAAGCTTCTTCGGATTGTTTATCTCATTAAACAACATCTTTCGTTTACTACCCGATTCTGACCATTTGTCTTCCTCGATATCAGCAGATCTATTACTGTTCGTAACCCAGAGACCTCTACCATTCAAGTTAACAGAAGCTTCTGCATGACCATTACCCTTGGAAAGATCATTAAAGAAATTTTCCGAGGGCTTGGCTGGATCACTTTTCTGAGAACCCACACCGGGGTCATGTTTTTCTGCTCCAGGTTGAAGAAAGTTTTTGAAGTTATCCATTATCTTGACCCCTCTATCGCCTTCTTCTGTCCTAGTATCCGAAGAGCTACTAAGCTTGCCTTTGGATTTGGCAGATGATGCACCACATGATAGACCCAAGCTAAGCTCAAGCCCGTTATCATCCTCCATTCTATCGATTCACAGTATACTCCAGTGGTTCAAGTATAATAACCCCTGCTCATCCTCTCTACAAACCATTCATCCCAATACACGCTAAAACCTTCTTAAACATACATGTCTGCATAAAAGTCAGATGCATCAGGGGAAATAAAAGAGGGGAAAACCAATAAAAAGTCTCCATGATAATAGTCCCGAATCAAATCCAAAACTTAAATAGTGTTTGTCTCTTTTCATTTTTAAGAGGGAGGGTTTCAAAGAGACGGGGAAAGTAGCTTGAGAATAAAAACCTATCATCCAGATCCATTCATTATCAAAATCAACGAAATCAAAACCCCAGAATGAATTTAAAAAAATAAAATCAAACCCACAAACAGTTCAGACTAAAATTCATAATTAGATCTAAACAAAATCAGAAACCCGTCGTCAAAAACCAATTAACTTCATCAAAACCCTTGCGGATTCAATAATAATAGTATAAAAAAATTGAAAGCACAAAACAATAGAATTATATGAAAAAGCGCCATAGACTCACCCGAATAAACACAGAGAAGACTTAAAGAACCATAGGCAAGGTTGTCTTTGATCATCACAAGTAAAGAGCACAGAACACTGGAAAACTGGGAGGAAATGTTCGAAATTACCTACTAATTTTTATTTATTTATTTATTTTCATATCATGTGATTATCATGTATATATATATATTCTTATTGCCGCTATCATCCACCAATCAATTACCCTATACATACTTATTTTATTATCTGCTCAAGTCCAAAATATTGGCGGATTTTCACTTTTGTCCAGTCCTTTTTGTTTTAATCTATCCCCGTCCATATTCAAATAAAATGATAAACTATACTATTAATCACTGAATTTTATCATCTTTTACTTTGATCACCAACAATATAAAAATAACGTGTGGACTGCTTATATGGAGAAAGAAAATGACATAAAAAAAGATACACGAAGATCATCATTATTTTTTGTAATGGTGAAAAGTTAAAATAAAAAAGATAATGTAATTGATGATTTTATAAAAATAATCGATGATTAGAGTAAAAACATTATTATAGTTTGTTGAATAATAACATAGTTTAGCCAATAAAAAAATGTTAGGTAAATTACACATTTAGTAACTAAATTATCAGTTTTGGTCTATTTTAGTACTTAAACTTTCATTTTTTTCAGAATCATATCTAACGTTTAATTTTTATTTCATTTTACTACTCGTCGTTAAAAATTTAACGGACGGGCTAGCCGACCTTCGTGTCTACAGTCATCGACCATTGCATCCATCAATAGATGAAGCCCAAACTTTTCGGCCCAAAAGTTTTCGACCCACTGAACGTGATTTTGACCTCTATTTCAACGAAAAATACCTCAATCTCCATATCAACGATGAAATCTTTGACTTCCTCTGATCTCTATTGTCAATCGTCTGATTGGTCTGAAATTGGACTATGTTGGCCGACTCGTCATTCTCTCGTTGTCTACCATTCAGATTGATCATTCGTCCATCGCAGTTATGTCCCGCCAGCCCATCCGTTAATTTTTTAATGGCGGGGTATTAAAATAAAACAAAAACTAAACGTTATGTATGATTTAAAAAAAATGGAAATTTAGGTACTAACACGGACCAAAACTAATAATTTAGGTACTAAAAGCGTATCTTACCCAAAAAATGTTTTAAGTGCTGTTGTATATAATCCCAATCTTAGATTTACTTTGTAATTGTATCTAACTAATTAAATTATATCCAAACCCCACATAATGTGAATAAAGTAGTGTCTATTTTTTGTCACCTTTTGCTATGTCGTTTCAGTCCAAGTAATTTTTTTTACGCAAATGAAGCAATATATAAGACAGGAAGGTAGTTTACCCATGCTCATCTGTTTTGGTCTGTCTTTACAAATATCTGTAAATAATTTATGAGTTGATAAACGGCATTGTATTGAATGGAAAAAATCAAAGCCATGTGGTGGTTTGCCCATTTATGGGCATTGAAGCAAAAGGATGACAAATTGCTCTCCCCGTCCTCAAGATGAGTTAATTGAATTTAAGATGGTATTTAAAAATTGGAAAATTTGCACTTGGCTCTAATTCGTCTTGAATTCATTCTGAATTTTAAGATAAAATTCTTCCAATTTTACTCAACACGAGTAATGTTTCTTCAATTTTATTCTGTACGATATAAAATAACTAAAATATAAAGAGAGGAGCATGAATCAAGCGACTTCGGTGGTAAATAAATTGTTGTGATTTTTTTAGATCTCCGGTTCGAGCACCATAAATGTTAAGGGTGTGAAAGTTGAATATCAAATGGTTGAGAATTATCTTCGAACATATACCACCCTTATCTTAGTTCAGGGATGCTGAAGGCCTGCTAAACTCGAATCTTAGTTCAGGGACTTCAGGCTCATTCTTGAGTGCCAACTTATCTTCACCGGGCAATGACAAAATATATACTCAAAACACAAAATTATAGTAATTTTAAACCATTGCAAATTGCATAAGTCATATGCGTGTCCCATATGAATTCATTAGTGCCCACTCTTGGGTAAGAATCACATTCCCAAGGTCTCTATTAAGAAAACAAAACAGGAGCACTGCTTTATCTCCCGCTTATAGAACCTTTGATGGATTCCTCTTAGAATTTACCAAATGTTGTTAGAAGCTTGTTTTGATGCCAATAATGAAACTGTTAGAAACAAAATCATAATAAATATGAAAATCAACCAGGATCAAATTATGTTATATCATCAAGAATAAAATACTAAGGAGCTGTTTGTTTACTGTTGAATGTAACCATTCAGCGTTGAATGCTGAAATGTTCAGCATTCAACGCAAAATGCTGAACCGTTCAACATTCATCATGTTTGATTCTCACATCTGAATGAAGACTATGTTGAATGAAACAACAAAACACTGCTGAATGATTCAGCTTTAAAGTACATTTTGAATCATTAAGCATCCGATATTTTATCATAATACATATTTTTTCACATGTTGTCTTATTAAACAATCATATCTTATAATATAATAAATCATTATGAAGGTAAAAATGAAAATATTCATAATTCAGATTGTATATTTAGAACCATTATCAAACATGTCACATTCAGAGCCAATTCATACAAAGCCTTTGAATCATTCAGGTCATTGAATCATTCAGCGCTTAATTATTTTATTTTATCAAACAACCCCTAAATTTGCGGAAGTATACCAAATTAATTGAAATATTGAAATCTTTAAGTCTTTCTTTAGTTTGATCTTCCAAGAAGATAGATTTCATCGTGCCGTAAATAACTCTATGGATAAGAGTAATACAAGTTAACATATTTATATTTCTCGGGGACCACTATCTCTTTATATAGACTGAATATTAGGTCAATCTTTGAAGTATTTATAATTCTGCCCCTCATCAAATTATAAATACGACTTACAATATCTACACTTTGATTCTATGACACTTTAATACTATTAAACATATAAAAGTACTATATTTTCTACCCTTTTGTCCATAATTATTGCTAGATTTAGGAATTTCCCTAGCAAACAAAAAATTATGCGGCATTTGAAGATAATCATGGCATAAGGGATAAGTCCTATAAAGTTGGGATATTCACGCATAAATCAAGGAGGGGAAGAAATCTTATTTGAAAAGGATGTGAAGATAAATATAAAAGAGATTTAATTCCTATTTCATTAGAAGAGATTTATTAGCTCTTTTAGTTCAATTAAACTCTCCTCCAACAAGAATCAAAGAAACCTTATCATCTCATATAAAAGAAGACCAAGATGCAACAAAAGAGGGGAGGCGCATGAGAGAGAGAAAATTAGCATATATCATCTTCCTCTTTTCTTCTTTATTTTTCTTTTCATGTTGTTGGGAAATATTTATATTGTAATCTTTTTGCACTCAACCATGAAATACTTTTAATTGGTTTGGGTTATTGGGGTTTTGTAGTTGTGAAAACTCTTAGATTTATTTAAGTTCTAGATTGCGTTTGAATTCAAAGTTTGTTCATTCTTGGTTCTTTAATTGATTTCGAGTGAATTGGGAGAGAATATAGAGAATTGTCCATTTATATAGAGAATTATACTATAACTTGCGACGTTTACACTTGCATCATTTGTGAAGCACTTAAATCATTCAAAAAAGTACATGTAACACATGTAACATAATTTGTAACACCCCAAAATTTTGGTTAGTGACCAAAATGTAAATCTTGAAAGTTTAGTGTAAAAAGTATAAAGTTTAAAAGTTCAAGGACCAAAAAGGTAATTTCAAAAGTTCAAGGACCATAAACCTCCATTTCGTTCTCCTCATAACCTAGGTAAGAGAAATTTATTTTTCATTTTTAAGTAATTCCTTTGAATTTTGGATCAAATAGTGAAATAGAAAATTATTCTATTCGAATAGCTTTATCATTTGGTACCATTATACATGCTAATCTTACTTGAATGTTAAGTTACAAAATTTTAGGGTTTATGTTCATGTTAGGGTTTTATGAATTGATGATGTATTTTGAGGTTGTTGAGGTTGTAAAATCATTTCCAAGCTTGTTTGATGATCAAAACCACCTATAAATGCTATATTGATTTTCAGCTGTAACACCCTTAACCCTTATATATATCGATATACGAGTTAAAGATGTCACATCAAACTGAAAACATTTACTGAACTGAAATTTCCGTAAAAATTTGTTTCTTTTAAAAATACTCTTGTTTTAACTTTAAAAAGCTATTTTAAAGTATATTTCAGATTATAATTTATTTCTTTATTACAGGAAAATAAATTCATTATTTATTCAGAAATTTTACTGAACAATGTCTTTTCGTAAAACCTTTTAAAAACATAATAATGTAATAAATTCTTGTCATATAGTTACCGATAAAACTAAAAAAAGTAAAATAAACTAAAATAGTTATAGTTTACTATTACAATTTATTTAAAATAAATACGATAATTAGAAACTACTGACATAATTATACATGCCACTATAAGTCAAAATAAACATCATAGATCTCTTACTGATACTGATGATATGTATGTCTTTCCAAAAGATGCTCCGATAGCTCCTTACTGATCTCACTTATCCTTACTAGAACCTACGCATGAAAATCATCACGCGCTAAGTATAACTTAGTGAGGCAGTACTACTAAAGGTGAGAACAATTAAATAAAATATCAAAATATATAAAATCATTAAAATAAAACAGACTGAATTTCTTCAGAACATTCAAACAAGATATCTCATGTTGAACTTTATAATAAACTTGAAAAGAATCATCTGATAATTTTCACAAGATCATAAATAATCAGATCAGACAGAATAATCAGTTCATAATTTTTTGTAGTCAGACACTTTTCAGAACTTTCTTATTTCATTTTGATAGCGCAAAGTATATTTTAAGAGAATATAAGATACGTGAGTCAGATGAGTGTGCGCAATACAAATCTCAGATCATCAGAGTCGGAACAGATAATCACACATAGTGCTATAACATCAGAAATAATAATATGCACACCAAGTGCATTCAGACCAAAATATATATACTAGTGTACACTCTGGTACACCACAGTATATCGAAATCAGAACATATAATCACTCCACCTCATGGCATGCAAATTGTACCTATGACTCTCCATATAACATACAATGGGCTTTTTAGTCATTTCGT